CCCCAAACAAACATGACGTTTCTCGTGGAAAAATCGATATGTGAGGCTTCTAGCTCTTAGATATTAAGGTTTAAGGTTTAGAGTTTAAGGTTTGCAAAGGACAACCTTATTTGAATTGGCTGTAAACATGAACTTGTAGAGCTCGATAACTGGGTTCTGTTGCTCAGTTGGTTAGAGCGCTGCGCCGGAATCGCAAGTAAGAAAAGTTATCAGAAAGAAAATGAAGAATGTATTTGCTCAATAAATTATTAGATTGTCTTTCTGTGATTATAAAAAGAAATTACATAAACTATTCACACAACTGTATCTTAATATCTGTGATTATAGCCACAGGGCCTGACCGTCATTAAACAATGGCCCAGCAAATGCAGGAAATAGCGTTTTAAGCCTTTGAACGTCGAAAGTCTTCTGGGGGGGGGGGGCATGCCTCCATGCATGCAGGCCCCTTACATGTAAGTTACGAACATAAAATGTTTTACGATGTGGGTTTCCAAGATAAGTTCCAATCCTTATTTTTTCTTATATACCAGTATTTTAATTCTCACAATTGTCGTGAAAGTTGCACGTCGACTACAGTAAAATCGACCGTAAAGGAAAATGGCCTTATAATCGTGTATATTATCAAACAAAGCGGCATTTGCCGGAAGATTTGACGGTATTTTCGGTCTGTTCATCTCATCGCTGTGCAAGTGATTTTTAATTTTTAGAAACCGTAAATTTTCATATTGAATTTCAAGATGACTCTAATATTGCACTTGTTTATTCAATGTTCAAAATATGACTAATGTGAAAACACTACTAAAACTATATGCGTGATTGTATCACTGCATGTCCATCGTGTGATGACTGCAATGACATTGGCTTATTCTTCGGAATTTTTTCCTTGTATAAGGGGTCGAGGCGACGCTTTTCAGTCACAACACGGTCGTTAGATTGCCGAGGAAGACTGCATCAAAAACTGCATTTGTTTGTTTTCAACACATATGACAAAACATAAGATTTTTAAAGAGTTTCAGGCTTTCTCACACAAGCACTATGATGCAAAGCGCTACTTTCCGAGAGTCATTACTTTTGGAAATCTTTTAAACATCTCAAATTTCCGGAGCGCCACTTTTGGGATTCCATAATGAAATACGAGTTCTAGATTTTTACTGCATTATATGCTAGCTGTCACGATTCCATCCAGGAGCGTAGCCAAGGGGGGAATGGGGCGTCCGGATCCCTCCACTTTTCTTCCTGACCAATTTTGTAATTCTTCCAAAACTCAGGAGAACATAAGCGTACGAGCCGGGGGGGAGGGGGTTGCCTAAAAGAAATTCAGGAGCTGCCATTTTTTCGGGCGAGAAAAATCTGCGAGAGACACTGCGCGCCTCACTGCGCCCCTCTCCGACTGCTTGTTGAAGACTTAATATTTTCTTATAGAAGGAAGCATATAATATCAGTGTATCAATTTCAAAATCGACTTATCCAGGCGTTAATGCTTGAATTTCACCTTTGTGATTAATTCAAGCATTAACGCCTGGCATAGTAGATGAGATAGGTCCCGTGCGTCTATGGAGGAGAAACTGGTTGCGGGCGTAACCCAGGCGTAACCTCGTAATGTTTTCATCTATGAAATAAAGTATACCAAATCTGTAGCTTTCTGATTATCATAAGACGTGTCTAAAATGCATGAAATAGTGTCTTAGACCCTAGAAAATTTTTTTTTCCAGGAAACCATGCCCCCAGATGGCTGCAGGACACCCTAATTGTTCTGTGCATTCGATAATTCGATACCAACCCTCCCCCCACTCTTTGTTTTATTTTATTGCATTTATTTAAATTTATTGCAGTTTTGAAAAATGTTCTTTATAAATATTTCATCCAATCTGGCAACTTTTTTCCTGGTATAATGATGCTCACAACATTTTTCATGCGGTCTTGTATGAGAGTTCAATGTTTTCGTACCTTTTAACTGTATCAGGATGATCTAGCTTCCTCATACGGTTTTAATCTGATTTGAAGAGCATGTTCATATGACTCTACAGCTGACTTGTAATTTTCCATCACATATTGTGTGTCTCCAATGATATCATAATTTGGAGCAGTAGCAACATAAATCTTTCCAAACAATTTTAAATCGATTTCTATATAAAGCGTGTTATTGTGACTCTACTTTCATCTCACGTTATACAATTCCAAGGCACAATAACAGCTAGAAAACTGTCTCAGCGCGGTACTTCCCGTGCAGCTTTAATCTACTTTGTACAACATATTGATGTAACTTTAATGCTGTTTTGTAGTTTTTCATAGCATGCGTCGAATGACTACAATCGCCAAACAATTTTAATTTAATTTTAAGAGCACACTAATGAGATTCTAAAGCTAACTTCAGGGGCAAAACTTGAGGGGGGTATAGGGTGTGTGGCAACCCCCAAAATACGAATCATCCCGATTGGCAGGGTAATAAAAGATTTTAAATGATAGAATGTAGAGTTATTAAGTAACTTATTACAGCTAGCAAACAATAAGCAGTTCGTATGCATGTACATTGGCATCGGCAGTTCAATTATACACGTAGCTTATATAGAGATGTATTGTATTAGCGCTGGCGCTGCAGGCTGCAGGGCATCATTGGTTTTGGCAGGGCAATCTGCCATATACCCTCCTAATTAAAAGGGGCGGCTAGTTTCGCCCCTGGCTGACTTATAGCGTTACATGTCATGACGTGTGACATTTATGCAACAATAACTTCTAGCAGTGTTTGATATGGCTCCAACGCTGACTTGTAATCTTTCATCTCACGTTGTGCGACTCCGATGTTGTAATAACTAGAGTAGACTTCTCCACACAGTTTTAATCCAGGGACGTGCTGGGGTCTTAAAAAGAACGGGGAAAGGGGAAAAAGCATTTCCAGACATACCATTTTTCAGTAACTTTCGAATTAAAGTACCGTAATTTGTTAATTTTTTGGGTAGTATTTTCGTAAGTTTTGTAATATCTTAATCTTGATTGTCAAAATTAAAATTTATGTTTTTTTTACCCTTTCCAATGTTTTAATTTCAGGGGCTCATGATGACAGGGCCCCGCAACAAGTTCTCGTCGGCTCGTCTCTAGCCAGCACGTCCTTGTTTTAACCTGATTTCAAAAGCTTTTTGTTTAGACTCTAATGCAAACTTGTAATCTTATTTTCATCTCATCTTGTGCCAACGCCAAAGTTGTCATAACTTAGAGCAGTGTCAGAATGGTCTTGTCCAAACAGTTTTAACCTGATTTTTTAAGCAAACATTGCATTTATCTTGTGTTTGTGCTCTTTGTGTCAAGGCGAGAGTATGGATTATGCAGTATTTCTAGTTTGGTTATCTTTTCAAGCTTTTTGCGGCTTATAATTGCATGGTCACTAATTTGCTTCGATTGTTCATTCATAGAGTCATGAGAACAAATGATCTATGGCTATGCATAATTGCATATCCGTATTTTTGTAGATTTTGAACAATTTTTGAAAGGTAGGAGAATTCACTACACGCTATGCCGTTTGCGGTTTATGTTTCCACGTCAAAATCTACTTTTTCAGTAAAAATTTAGCCTCCCTAAAAGAAAATATGTTCCGCTGATGTGACTCCAACGCTAACTTGGAATCTTCCATCTCACGTTGTGTGATTTTAATGTTGTAATAACTTAGAGCAGTGTCAAAATGGTCTTTTCCAAACAGTTTTAATCTGATTTGAAAAGCATGTTGATGTGACTCCAACGCTGACTTGTAATCTTTCATTTTACGTTGTGTGATTCCAATGTTGTGATAACTCAGAGCAGTGTCAGAATGGTCTTTTCCAAACAGTTTTAATCTGATTTGAAGAGCATGTTGGTATGACTCCAACGCTGAGTTGTAATCTTTCGTCACATGTCGTATAACTCCAACGTAGTTATAACTTCCAGCAGTGTCAGAATGATCTTCTCCAAACAGTCTTAATCTGATTTGAAGAGCATGTCGATGTGACTCTAACGCTGACTTGTAATCTTTCATCTTATGTTGTGTAACTCCAATGTTGTTATAACTTAGAGCAGTGTCAGAATGGTCTTTTCCAAACAGTTTTAATCTGATTTGAAGAGCATGTTTATCTGACTCCAACGCTGACTTGTAATCTTTCATGTTATATTGTGTGTTTCCAATGTTGTTATAATTTAGGGCAGTGTCAGAATGGTCTTCTCCAAACAGTCTCAATCTGATTTGAAGAGCATGTTGATGTGACTCCAACGCTGACCGGTAATCTTTCATCTCATATTGTGTGTTTCCAATGTTGTTATAGCTTAGAGCAGTGTCAGAATGGTCTTCTCCAAACAGTTTTAATCTGATTTGAAGAGCATGTTGATGTGACTCCAACGCTGACTTGTAATCTTTCGTCTCACGTTGTGTGATTCCAATGCTGTCATAACTTTTAGCAGTCTCAGAAAGGCTTTCTTCATAACTGCTTAAACTTTTTTCAGAAGCTTTTTGTTTTGATGCCAATTCTGAATCGTTCTTCTTTCTTTTTTCTTTTTTTTTATTCTAATAAGAGAATATAGCATAGTTGGTGAGTTATGAGGCTAATATAGCTTCGTATTTAAGAAAGGAGCTAATCTCTTCATTTCAAGTTTCGTTTAAATTTTTTTAAGCAAGACACTCAATTGAAAGCGAGCAATAAACTTTATTCAAACCGCCTATTACTAGAAATAAATTTTGTTGCATTGGAACAGGTACATTTGCCCAGTGTGTCTATTAGCTTTATGAAACCGCTTGAATCTTTAAAATTATATTTATTCTAGAATAACTCGGCAAAATTTCCTTCCCTCCCCCTTCCCTTCGAAGACGTCTAACGCTGCCCCTGCGCGAACTATAGTAATAAATGGAAATCGCAGAAATTACTGTCTAATTAAGTTAATTAATTAGTTGGGACTGAAGAGAACTGATGGGAATATCAGTGAAAATATTCTGTTATGTAAATATCAAGACTTTTTCAATTGCAATTACTACTTGTACCGTATTCCATCTTGGGTCTATTTTAGACGCCGAAATTTCCGTCGAATTTAATTCGTTGGATTTAATGCTTCTGAATATTACTCGAAGCGATTTCCGGCGACTCGCCGGGATTTTAATTATGCGACGATTTTATGTGTCGAATGAAACCACTTAACGTTTCTCTCGTCTTGTTTACGCTTTCCATTAAGATTAAAATCGCAAAGTAAGAAAGTAATAAAGTAGGCCGCATTATGACGCAATGCAACTTAATGAGTAGACTAGAGCATATAGTCTGATTAAAACCGGTTCAGTGAACGCCAACGCTCTCCCCTTGACGAGGAAAATCGACTATCGTTAGACAGAGTAAAATAATAATGTAGGGCGAAATGCAACTTAATGCTCAAAAAATAGCTCAAAAAACACGTCGTCCTAACAGAAACATGATATAAAAGATAAATAAACTGTAACTGCCGGTTCAAGACAGCCGATAGGGTAAAGTTTTATTTGATATAACCATTTTAACAGACAACTGATTACAGGTGAAACGATTCGTTGTCGATCGAGAAAATCATATACCGTTACACGGTGCGAGATTTTTATTTAGTTTAAATGTTTACTTACCCGCACATTTATCTCTAGGTCACTCTCCCCATCATCTAGTACAATATTTTTCACGTCCTCACAAATATCCTTGTTGATATAAGATCTGCGTTGAAACAATATTCCTGTTATTACTCTTTTTAGATAGAAAAGACATTGCCCTTCAACCATACATGATTGTCCAATACTGTCGACATGATACGGATCACGTACGACGCGTCAAATTCGTACGGATCGTAAACATGCACAAATCACGGTATTAACTCCTAAACGCAATAGGTGGAAGACCTATTTCAAGTTGCCATCAATAAGTAAACTAATGGAAAGATTTGTGTACGACCAGTTATAAGAATATCTGAATGGGAACTCGTCACTATCTGACCACCAGTTTAGTTTTCGTAAATTTCATTCGATCGCTTCGGCTCTTCTAGATTGTACGAATAGTTAGTATATGAACATGCATGGACCGTAAAATGTTTAATTTAGTAGTGTTTCTGGATTTAAAGAAGGCCTTTGACACTGTCGACCATGATATACTAGTGCGTAAATTGGAGTTATATACGGTATCACCGGAAATGCGTTGTCTATAATTAAATCTTATATTAGTTAACATATTCACCGAAGCACCAATCTCGTACCCAGAGCAATGCCTGTGCGCGGGCTAGGATTGGCATTGGCTCTGGGGAAATTGAATTTTTCCTGTGCTGTGATTGGTTTAACGTTTATCAATCATGCATGCCGACAAAGAACCGGAACCCCTAAACTTAGGGGTTCAGGTTGTCAATTCCCCCAGAGCCAATTATGTAAATTTCCGCCAAACGTATGACAAGTTGAATTCTGATTGGCTCCACATGTTACATGTAATATGTGTAAATGAGACCATATATGCATATTGCTTGTAAAATGTGCGAATTCTAAAGACATCATATTGTCACTATTCACGAATCACAATTTCGATTTGAATTAGCTATATCGACATGTGTAGATCACTAGAGTCTAGAGATTGCCCTACCTCCTCCGCAGGCCCTTTTCCAGGCAAATTTGCGGGCGTGCAAATTTGCGGGCCACTTTTAGAAACGTAAAGCGAACTTGCCCGAAATGCTCCCTAACCTGCCCGAAATGCTCCTTATAAGCGCCTGCGGAGGAGGTAGGAGATGCCTAACGTACTATCGCATCGTGCGAAAATATGTTTGCTTATTTTTCACCCTGCTCGGTTTCCTTTGTTCTTATCGGGGAATATATTCAATATTCCACTCTAATCAATTTCCGTTTAATAATCCCCTCTAATATTCACCTCCAATTAATAATCCCTCTAATATTCACCTGCAATGTCTTTGCAGCACAAAAAAGAGAAAAAAAACAACATAACGAAGGGCAATATGGCATTAAGAATTATTTCTATTCTGTCTCATGAACGCAACCTCGCAATGTGAAAAATAAGTACGTTATTTTGAGGCACCTCGGGGATATGTGTTTATTCACCTCGGCGCTGCGCGCCTCGGTGAATAAATCACATATCTCCTCGTTGCCTCAAAATAACCTATACATATACAAACTTTTTATTCTCGTGCAGACATATGTCCAACTATTTGCACAGAAATTCAAAATGTTTGAATCTTAAAACTTCTCCAGACACTAAGAGTCACAAGAGAATACATTAATTAGTCGTTCAGCCTTCAAATTCCAAAAACGGAGCCATAAAAAATTTTCTAGCGATCCATTTTCTATCGATTTAAATTAAAGTTGTTTTACTCTGGCTCGCCGTGTTATGCTTCAATGCTGAAATATTATTGATTGTCAGGGCCGTAGGCCAAAAATTTCCGAATGACGAAAAAAATGTCCGAATATTTCATGTCCTACGAAGCCACGAAGGTGTTTGCTATCCGGAAAATGAATACGCAATTCACAAACAAAAATACGGCATATTTTACGCACAGACATATTACAGAAGCATGCAGTCGGCTCTTTTTGATTGGGGGGCTAGGGACGAGGGCAGAAGGCCCGCGGAAATTTTTGAATTTAGAGTCTCTGAAATGCCATTTCCTGGACTTTGCGGGAAGTTTTGACAGAATTCAGCATTACGCGAACTAAATAACTACAAGCAGTACATAATGCATAATGCATGAGTCAATTCGTATTGTTACCATCCCCCCAGGGCAATACAGCGGAGATTTGTTATTTTGTTAGCAGTCTTAGCAAATTCCCTAACTCCGGGACTTACCGATTTGCGAATTCCGAAGCAATACTGAAAAAGTACTGCCTCGTACCCAGGTGCTTTAAATAATTATACATGAAGTATTCAGGCATGCGACGCGCGAAGGGGCTGTTGGGAAGGATCAAGTTCGCCCATCTCTCCCCACTACAATACTTCATGTAAACTCGTCATATGCGCATCACTGTTTTTTTACAAAGAGGCAGGAAAAAGTACGAGAAAAATCGTAAAAATGTATTCATTCCCTTCATATTAAATAACGATAATCGTGAAATTTATTTTAGACAAATTTATTCTTGCCCACTGACAAACTCCGACGACTAGCCAGAAAATATTCTTGCTCGCCATTTTGAAATTTTGATGTTTAGTTACCACGCTTCTATTTACTTCTCATCTTTGCTAGATCCCCGCCATTTTTCCCACCCCCGGGATATTTTATTTTGCAATATCACCGGGGTTGCCCGGGGGGATGGTAACAGTACGAATTGACTCATGCATAACGTTCAGAGTACTGCCTCTATAATAATCATTCATATATTGTTGCTTCGGTCTTTGAAAACATTGCGCGAACTTAATACTACAAACCAGTACATAACGTTCAGAGCACTGCATCTATATAACAGTTCATATTATTGCTTCGTTCTTTGAAACATTGCGCGAAGTGATTACAAACAGTACTTAATTAACCTTCAGAGTACTGCTTCTATAATCATTCATTTATTGTTTTGTTCTTAAAACATTGCGCGAACTAAATAACTTCAAACATTATATAACCTTCAGAGCACAGGTTAAAACTTCACTATTTCTATCGTAGGCCTGGTTCACATATGCATGCGGTATGCCTGCGCTATCATTGTTTACAGCTGCATGTTGATGCATACATTCTTTTGTGAATTACTTGGTTGAACTGCTGACGACAACAGCCCGCCGACATACCGCAGGTGTACAGTAAGTATATGTGAACTAGGCTATTAGGCTATATGCTCCAGCGATGTTATTATCAATTTCTAAGAAGTGAATAATGATAATGATTTGAAATTTGCATAGCGGGACCAAATCGGCGGGGTTGCTACGCCAGGGATTATTGTAAGGAAACTTTATCACTGCACAAAAGTGCGAAAAATGATCAAAATTATATAAATTTAGCGCGGACATTTTAGAAAACGTTCTGACTGTTCCGCATATAAGTGCATGCATGTATACAGTGCTCTAATAATAATAATAATACAATAATACAATTTATTCAGTACCGGTAGTAATACATACATAAATATAAAATAAAGATAAAGTTACGAAAAGAAGGTACTAGCTAACTGTAATAACCAAAAGGCTAATCGAGACAGTCAGCGAATTTGATTAGTAACAAAATATATTTTGGTGGGTAAACTGAATAAATAAAACACATGCAATAAAGATTTCAAAATGGACAATTTTGATGCTATAAGCTAATATGAATTCAATATATTATTTTTAAGTTTGTTTTTAAACTGTGATTTAGAAAGACCCTTAAGATTTTCGTCAATTGAATTTCACACATTACTGCCAACAAAACGTATATTAAATTTTCCATAGTTGGTTCTTACTTTTGGAAGGGAGTATGACGATCTCGAAGCAAGTCTGGTGTTATAATTATGTTTCTGGCTTACTAATGCAAAATACTCATCAAATACGTGAGGAAGTCGACCTGTATGAAAGTCATACATAAATAGTGCATTATGATAAAAAATAAGGTCATGAAACTTGAGAAAACGAAGTTGAATGAAGAGAGGGTTAGTATGATCCAACCTCGTACCCAGGGCTTCTGCGCTTATTGCTCTCAGAAGCCCTGGGATAATCCAACTCAGAACGTGATTTGATTGGTCAATGCGAATACAATGAAAGTACCGGAAGTTATTCATTAACCGGGTGATATTTTGGCAACATGTCGCTATCTCAAGGAGTGTATACAAAAGTTAAATGCTGGTTTTTGCATGAAAATACTTTTTTAAATCAAATTCTGGGCTATTTTGAAAAGAGCAAAAGAAGAAATGGACTATTTGTATTTGTAAATAAGCAAGAATGGCGAACAGAGTAAAAAAAATTAACATAATAAAGCGAAACATTGCTCGTTCGAAAATTGAAATTTCAAGTATAAATCTACAACTTCAACCACGATATTCGATGTAAATATTACATAATAAAGTTTTTAATACCTTTTTTACCTTTATTTGATAAATTGTGTGTTCTATATTATTGCATTTTGTATTGGAATAGGATAAATTATGAATTATACACAAATATTTAAATTTACAAATTATTCCCAACTTGAGGATGCTGGGTGCACTGGCTCAGAGTTTGTATTAGTGCCTATTTATTATTGAGTTATTAGTGCCTCTAAATCTCTAGATCTAATGTACAAACCTTGTGATCTGTTACTTAATACCATAAAGAAACTGCTGATAGCACATATATTAAATGACTATAATAATCAAAATAAACTAAATTTTCGACCATTATATAGCATATTTCCCCCAATATTAAGGGAATAATTTCTCCTATTTATTTTTATAATAAGCCAATATTGCCCAACTGTGAAGTAAATATTGCCCGACTGGCCTAGTCTGCCCAACATTTGAGCCCAGCCCTGTACACCTATGACCAGGCCTACAGGTGGACCCCCAACCTGATTGGCCACAATTTTTTTTCTCCAAAATTTCCCCTCCCCATGTACAAGGATTGACAATTTGATTAGATTTGGAAAAAAAAACACAGTTATATTGGGTCATTCCAGAAAACACCCATACCACTCCCACAGAGGAAATTGAAAGTTAATCCCTCCTACCCCTTTGGATGTCCTAAATAATTATATATTTACTATTATCAGAAAAATTTTTTCCCCCTCCCCCTCTGAACGGCAGAAATTTCCTCTGTGGGGGGAGTGTGGATATTTTCTGGAACGACCTATTTGAGAAATGCTTTT